GGTTCACTTGGTGGTCCTGGCGGCGCCTGATGTTTGACGGTTGACGTCGCCGGCGGGGATCAGTGCAGGGATGAGGAGCGGCTCCTCCTGGTCTTCCAGGATGGAGATGAAGATGATGCTGATGAGCCGTGCTGTGCTGTATCATGCCTTGGTCTGACCCAGCGGCAGGCTGGTCGCGCGCGTCATGTTCGCGATGCTGATTTCAATCTGATGCAGACGAAGACGGGACGCGGGTCACGGTAACGGGTAGCTCGAGTTGTACGGGTGCAAGGTGAGTGAGAGGCCTCTCAAACATGGAAATGATGGCCCAGACGAAAGCGAAATGGGCGACGGGCTATCATTCCAGTCGATGCTGTCAATCCAGTGAGACCCTCGCCTTTCCCATGCTGAGACCCTCCCACGATCTCCCCAGCAATCTCCCCCCCACGTGCCACCGCTCCACCACCGGAAGCACTGATCTGCTTCTGCGCCGGCCCTGCCAGTGTTGCCTGCCTGTCTTGCCTGTGTCGTGCCCGCCGTGTCGTGTCGCTCCTGCCATCCATCGCTGCTTTCCTCCTGCCAAGCCAACCGATCCTCGGCGGCCTGCGCTGCGTTGTCAGGGAAAACGAGATCGAGAGGGAAAGGGCCACGCACGACACATACCTTAGAGTCAGCCACCGAGGAGGAGGAGGAGGAGGAAAGAGGAACCAGAATCTGCTTGCAGCACGCAGCCCAAAGCCTCGCAAGCAGGAAGGAAGCACACAGGCGAGGCACCTTCTTGGCACCTTCCTCGCAGCGCTCAGCGGAGAAGGTCCCGCAGCACCGCCGCGCCCGCACTACCCGACATTGCGGTAGGTGGGTGTCCTTGGTGTCGTCGTACCCTCCATCTCCCTTCTTGACTCTCTTGCTCTCTGAGCGCGCTGCTCCCCACCTCCTCCCCCCTCCCCCCTCCCCCCTAGTCCCTAGTCCCCTAGCACGTACCTAGTACCTCGCACCTAGTACCCTGGTAGTACCTATTCGTAGTGCCCAGTAACCCCATCTCAGCCCGCCTGTTCTCTCCGCTTGCTTGCTCGCTCGCTCGCTCGGTTGGCTGGTGAGGTGCATGCCATCCTTCCCGACGGGGCAACCTCCATCTCTCTTCCGCCTCTTCCTTTCCTTCCTACCTCCTCCCCTCCTACTCTGATCCTCTGCTCTACAACCACCAGGTCTCTCCTCCGTCTTTGTCCTCGACCAGGCAACAGACAGCCCTTCAACAGTGACAACAACAGCAGCAACTGCTATCGGTACGCAAACGCATACGCAGACGCACACGGCGTTCCGGCACACACTACATCGTTCGATCGATCGACCCCAGATTTCACCCCATATTGCGTCTCGCGCTACCACCCCCTCCCATTGACAGGCAAAACGTCAAAACACCAAACAACTCCGCCGAACCCAAACCCGAAACACCAAAAACCCAGTCTACATTACGCAACACACTTCTCTGCCGCGACAACCTCCAATGTATTCGAAAGGCCAGACGCCTGTGCCCTGTGCCAAGTCCTAGCTCTCGCCCCGTGTCAACACCTGGACGTCACCCGTCCACCCACATTCAACCCACTGCCCCCGGCACAGCGAGACAGCGTACGCACAGCATTCAGAACAGGCACAACAACATGAAGGGCATGGCCGTGGTCGAGTCGTATGCCGACTTGGCTGGCACCGCACCTGCCAAGTTGACCAAGTCACGCAGCAAGGCTGTCGTCAAACCCATCCTCAAGAAGGTGGGCTCTCAGTCGGCGAAGAGCTCTCTTGACATTGACCGCACCTGGGAGGAGCAAATACACTATGGCAGCCACGGTTGGGGCGGGGGTGCCGGCCGTGAGCGTGATGTGAGCTTCACCACATCAACCACCGAGCTCGACAACAGCAGCTACGCCAACACCAGCAGCGCGAATACGCGATCCAAGTACTCGCATGCCCGGTCCACGAGCGGTGCCTCACACGCAAGCATCGCCACGAGTAGCGGCAGCGGGCCCGGAGGCTATCGCAGCGGCAGCTTTGTTCACCCCTTTCAGCAGACCCCGCGGACCTCGACGCCGCCCCTCTCTTACGCCAACTCTCTCGCCAGCCTGGACCAGCCCACACAGCAGGGCAACAACAACCCTCGCGACTACTCACCGACGATCACGGAGGATGAGGACCTGGACTTCGACCCCAGCTACAGCTATAACCACCCTACCAATGGCCTTCAGCCTCAGTCGCGCTCGCTCTCGCAAAATAACCTTAACATCTACGCCGCCAATACCAACACCGCCGCCAACACGAGCAACAGTAGCCCCAGACGCCCCTCGCTCGCCAGCCAGCGCACATCCTCCCTCTCCGACGTCAACCAGAACCCCCTCCGCATCAACACCTCGAACCGCTCCACCTCCGCATCGGGAGGGTCTCGCCTGGCCAATGTCTCGAGCACCTCTGATCTCAACCTTCTCTCCGAGTCCTACGACTCGCCCGGCGCATTGTCCCTAGCTACTTCGCCGCCTTCTAGCAGCACGCCCGCCTTCTCTCCTCACTCGTTTACAGCGACCTCTCCCATCTCACTCTCCACATCAGCCTCTGCCATGGGTTTACGTACTTCGCTCGAGGGCTTTCGCTTACGCTCTCGCTCTGAGCTTGGCTCGGATTATCATCAGGAGCGCATTCGCATCGAGCGTCAAAAATGGCAAGACAAGGAGCGTGCGAAGCAGCAGAAACGCGATGAGAAGGAGCAAAAACGACGCGCGCGCGGCGACCATCACCGCACCGAGTCAGACGCCCGGGATCAGCAGGTAGAGGCCGCTGCCGAGGCTCTCATCAAGGCTCGTGCCGCCGCTCTCGACGACGGACTTGACGACCATACTTTCATCCGCAGTGATACTGCTGTTGCGTCCACCTATGCCGATGCTAGCTTTGCCGAGTTCAAGGAGCTCCCACGCAGAGCCCGGTCTTCAGAGGAACGTCGGCGCACGAGGAAGAAGACTGCCGCTGCTTCTCATGGCGCGAGCTTGTCCCCTGTCACGAGCCAGCATGCCATGTCGGAGAAGAGCGTGCCCACGTTTGCAACCCGTGGTTATGCGAGCGTCGCGGCACAGGGTGTGGCATTTGAAACGCCACCGCGTGGCCGCACTGCTAAACGCAAGACCCAAAGCGCGTGGACAACCTTTACCTTGTGGTTCAAGTCGCTACTGCTCAAATCGAAGCGTCAGTAGCTTCTTAGCCTGGAGATGAGCGTCCGGACACAACGCAGACGGAGTTTTCCATATGAACGTACGGGCTATCCAACTGCGATGCACAGAACGGGTTCATCGAAACAGATGACAAAAAGGCTTTTTTCTCTGGCGCTAGAAAAAAGAACAAACAACATACACGACCATATCTTTCGCTTCGCCACTATACCCCTTTCTCACATCAGCAGTCCAACTTCGGCCAACTTTCTCTTGGTAGAGGCTACCAGTTTCGTTTGCAAGCTGAGGGCTGCCGTTCTCTTTTTGATTCTATCTCGTCAGGATCTTGATCATTTGATTTTTTATGCAGGGCGTTAGGTTATTTGGGGATTGGGGTTCGGGCCTCTTTGTATCTTGGCATCATCCCCAGCAAGGGGCCAAACGGACGGGCCACGGGTGCATTGCGGGAGACATTCATGCCAGGGAAACATTTTGGCTCTCGAAGGACGATCTGGAGTTGGTGGGTTTTGTGGTTATTCTAGAGCGTTGGCTTTGAACGGAAGTTATGGATAGATAGCCCTTTGAGGACAATGAACAGACAATCTGCCTTCCTACCTTCTGCCTTTCTCCCGTTCCTTCTTTTCCATTTTCCTTCAAAACCCAGAAAGTGAAGAGGCATAAGAGAGCACTCCACTCATCCCCCACCACCTCTGCCGTCCTCGATAGTCCAAGAAAACAAAAAGACAGCGTTCAAAACATACAACACCAGGTATTCGCTGGTGGTCACCCACCCAACTACTGATCCGGCCCTTATAAAGCTCAGTTTTGGGGTCACCTATCGTCGTAATTGGGTAGGCGGGTGCCATACTAGTACACTTTATCTAAGTAAATTCCATCGTAGCTACCCCATTTTCAAGCGCATGGCTCATGGTATTATTAGCACCTTATTCTTACGGGAAGGGTACTAGGTACTAGTGGCTCCAGGTCTCATTTGTTTCCTGGTTAACTGCGTAGGCCCCAGCCAGTTCTTACTAGTTAGCTAATTCCTGGTTATTTAAATACGGTTTCCTGTTTTCTATAAACAGGGGGCTGTTTACTAGTCAATCCTTCCTTAGTTATAGAAATAATATAGTGTTAACGGGGTTTCAGCTTCTTGCACGGCAGCCCGTTTTCTTAGTCAACTTCATCCCTCTGAGCCCTAGACTTGGTCCTGAGCTCCTCATCATGAACGTCTTTAGTACAGACTAACTCACGTTTCTCTCTTACGACTTTCAGGGTCCATAGATCAGAAGACATCGGTAGGTATAGGAGTCTTCCCCGTTCACCTGCTACTATCACTATTCATGAGTTAGCTGCTTTCTAGCAATCTGCGCCGTCGCTAGTTACATCGACACATCCTGCGACCGACACGATAGGTGCTGGCCGTGTTTTCTGTATAGCCCTCCCTTTCATTCATTATACCGGCAATGATTGCCTCACTTCGGAGCCCTTTTCCATCGCTTTGTGCAGACAACTTCCTGTCCAGAGGTGCGGGGGGTCAAGTCTTCACGATCAGCCCACGCATTGTTTTCAAATGTCCAACGAGCTTCCAGAATCCCGCGCCTGAGCAACAGGAGGAAGCAGAGGAGAGCAACGAACGGATTACAAGAGAGAAAGAAGTCTACGAGCTTCTGATTAAGCGTCCACATCCCAACATTGTCCGATGCATTCTCATCGTTCCTGAAGGTATTTTTTTAGAGCGGATGGAGATGACATTGGAAACCCGCATCGATGATCAATCACTTCATCCGACATCCGCAAACGTCCACATGCGCTGGATCAGACAAATCACGAACGCCTTGTCCTGGCTCGAAAATCTAGGGCTTGCTCATGGCGACCTGAGGCCAGCAAACCTACTTCTTACCCGCGACGAACAGATTCGCCTGGCCGACTTTGATAGCTCGGTCCCGATAGGTCATCAGCTTCGTGTTGCCAGCGAGCCGTTTTGCAAGCTTCACGACGATTTTTCTCTCCCTGAAGCCGGCGCAGCTAGCGAACAGTTCGCGTTGGCGTCATGCATCTACACGATCCGTTTCGGTCACATTCCACTGCGCGAGCTTGATGCGCCCAGCAGGATTCAAAAGATGATGAGACACGACTTTCCATCTACAAAGAAGGATGACATCTTTGGTCATGTCACGCTCAAGTGCTGGCAGGGCAATTACAACTCTATCGCTGCTGTATACCATGAAGTTCAGTTATGCCACAAGGCTGAGTGGGAGTTAGAGAGTCGCGAAACCCTCGGCCATGAGATAGCCACTCTCACATCCGAGTGTGAGACGTTCCTGGCGAAGGAGGGATCCACTTGGAGAAACCTGCTTCAAGACTGTTAGCATGTACAATAACTTCTCATGCTTCTCTTAACGAAGGAGGTTTACGATGAGTTATAAATGGCAGTGATTGGACCGAAGTTCCTTATTTGCGGATCGCGGTATTATTATTTTCTGAAAGGTTCCCAGTCTACGGAGTACGCGGATGCGCACACTGTCTATTTTCGACGAACTGTTACTGTGTGGACCGCGCTTTCGATCTAGGAGAAATCAATCAGATAGGAAGCTACTTATGCTTATAACGATGTATCTAGTCACCAATAATAAGTTCTATTACCTCATATTATACATGTAGGCCTGCGTCTTACGAGAGCTAAGACAGGGCACCGAGGAACCATGTCGTCGCAGCCCCGCAAGCGTCCCATAGCGGGGTGATCAACTTCAACTTCGTCCCCCCTACTACTGTCGGCCCAACCCTGGCCTATTATCGAACGTCCGGTCATCGCCGCGTGGTTACACGACCGCCTCGGCGGCATCGGCTCAGTATCATTTCTACAATGCCGGGCAGACGGCTGACCCAAGAAGTAAATCGCAGCTCGCCATACAATATACCCACGACACCCAGACCAGGTCGCCCGACACGTAAGTCTTCTGGGTACACGCAGGCACCGCCCAACGTTTCGAGGACGCATACCGAATCATCACAGAGAGGCTCAGACTACCAGGATACCGCGACCTAGAGATAGACGTACTAAGGCTAGTGGCTGCTTACTATATGGCCTTAATGTCAGCCTCGCATCTTGCGGGGAATTCTCTAGGAGCACTATCCTAGCGGGACGCTGGCTGAGGCCTTGTAGTCGGCGAAGGTTGATGTCCCTCGATAATAATAGGGGTCATAGCTCTGTACTATAGTCGCTACTCTTCATTAATATAACCTTACTTATGTAGATATTATAAATTATCTAACGTAGTACTTAATAAGGACAAAAATCTAGTTTTTATTAAGATTAGCGGAGCTAGTAGTATTATATGCGAATAGCTATCTATTAGAGCGTTATTTAGAGTAGAGTGAAGAGGTCTTCTATGAGTAGTCCGTAGATAGGTAGGGGTCGGAATATATCTGAATTCTAGCCCTCTATAGTCTAAAGTGCCCTCCGCAGCCTATATATACGTTTCTCGTAGTCCTTAGCCTCCTGGCCGACCCCCTGCTGGCGACTCCGCAGGGAACCCGCAGGGTCCCCTGACACTATCGCCTATAATGCAGTAAGTGGTAGACCCCCTTTCGATAAACTTCGAAGCCCGGAAGGAGAACGCAGGCGGTCGGTAAACTTCTATCTAGGATGGCAGAAGCTCAGGAGCAGGATCATGGGCAGCAGCAACTCCTTCGAAGCGCCGCGGAAAAGGTATCAGGTGATCCTGCGCATGCTTCCTTATCTCGCATCGCTACCAACCTCTCTAGGTCGCACCGATAAGAGAGCTAAAAAGCAGCCCAGTCGACGTTTCAGGCCTTGAATCCGCCGTCCCAACGGGAACCTTCATCTCAGATGATTAGGCCTGGAATAGTCACTGATGACATATCTTACCTAGGCCCTCACAACAGGTCGAAAAGAGACCAGGGAGGAGTTCACTTCCTCCTCTCTGATTCGCGCAGCATGCTACTGGATCTGCACCCTCAAGTTGCAACTGGACCAGCTGCCGTCCCTCTGCCTGTATGGAGCTAACTCGATCCATTCGAGGTTGGAACGTGGTTCAAGATTTGCACTAATCTGGCTAGGTAGTGTGAGGGAAGGAAACCTGTCTGCCTAGTGCGGCCACTTGGCGGTGCATGACCCGTGATGGACGTTGGTGTTCGCTGGTCTATACCTTGGTGAGTTTTTGGAGACGTAACTCTACCGTGGCTCGACGTTTATCAAGAAAGAGGCTGACGACCCTCCTGTTTCTTGCTTGGTAGATCGGGCTATATGCAGCTACGAAAACTCCGAGACTGAATATTTCCTACCCAATGTCGCATGCCTGCAATCCACCACTCGGCACCTCCAGGCTTTGCGCTTTCATCCAGAGATGCCACCTGTTTCATAGGTTTGTCCACCAACCAGGTCTAACCAAGACTAGCCAGCATGTCGCAAAATGGACATGCCGATTATTCGCGTGAGTTCAATTGATGCCTTTGCCACTATAGGGTCCAATGTTGGGATTCGTAGCACCACCCAGCCTCCTACCGAAATAGTCCTTACCCCCGTTGTCCTTAATCGCAATGCCGCTTCCTATGGCTGGAGAGCCTGCCCGCAACTTGTACCCAAATCCTGCCCCCAGCGTGCTTCCGCGAGTGCGTGGGCTTGCGAAGAGCGGGTCGCCGAGGTGCCCGTCTTCAGTGGGCGGCATCAAACCATGAAACAGGTTGTTTTCCCATACGATGTTGCTGGCCACAGGCAGGGTTGCATTCTCACGCCCGACAAAGATGTTGTTCGTCATCTTGGTCGCGTTCTGCGGCAGTTGCAGCTCAAAGTCCCTGTCGGCGCAGTACATGGCATTGTTGTAGAACTCGAGCGTCGAGTTCTCCGACACGCTGATCATGCGGCAGTCGTTCTCGAAAATGTTGTAGCGAACAATCTGCCTCGCGCCTCCGGAGACGCCACAGCCGTCGCAGTCGAGGAACGCGCCGCCGGCATTGTCGTGGCTGTAGTTATACTCAACGATGCATGTGCCCGTAACGCCCCAGTCGCAGTCAAACGCCGTGCTGTCGTGGAGGTTCATGATGCTCCCGTACACGACGTTGTGCCGCATGACGGGGTTGTGCGAGGCCATGACCCAGATACCGGCAAAGTTGCCTCCCTTCCAGGGGTACTTGCCCTTGCCAAGGTTCGACGCTACGTTGTGGTCCAGGCTCGGCGCATCGGAGTACTGCACGACGATGCCGTCGCCGCCGCAGGCGTCCATCTTGTTGTAGGACACGCGGATGTTGCTGCCCTGGTTGTCGATCTGGCCGGGCCGGATCTTCATGGCGCCGCCGCCGCAGTCTTTGATCGTGTTGTCCCGAACGGCTACGCCGTCATAGCGGCTCCCATTGATGGCGCTGAGGAGGATGCCGGCCGAGTTGGCAAAGTCAGAACTGAGCTCGCCAGTCTTGTTGGTCTGCCCTGCCACGTCATAGATCGTGTTGTCCTCGATCGTGATGCCGTAATGAACAGCCCCGTCATTGGCGAGGATCGTGATCCCTTGGCGCCTGGCAACGTTGCTCGCCGGGTTGGTGAAGGCAATCTTGGTGATGCGCCAGTGGTCTTGGTTCGTGAGCAACAGTGATGAGTTGGCTCCGTTTGCATGAATGACTGGCGGACCCAAGATCGAGTCGATTGGGTACGATGTCAGTCGTATGGGCTGGCTCGAGGTGCCGCTCCCCTTCGGAGACAAGATTCCCTTGCAGGTGACGTTGGACTTGAGAGCCAGAGTGTCGCCTGGTGCGAAAACGAACTCATTGGGTTCATCGAAAGAGTTCCAAGGCCCTTCAACGGTGCCGTTGCCCGGCGAGGATGCCCCGCAATCGACATAGTATGAAGATGGACGTCCAGAGGCCAGTGTAGCCAGCAACAAGATTGGCCAGAGGCGCAGAGAGACCTGGCCGTTTTGACTGCGTCGTGGAATGAGCATGATGAGCGTGGCAATTGTGATGACTGAGATTGCCGAGACTGGTAAGGAATCACCATTGCCATCGGCTTCGATGCCTACAACTATTTGTATACACGAAGCCGAACCCATCTTGCCCATGATAGAGGGCGACTCAACCTCGCATTGTTGCATCGAATCGCCGTAGCGCGGTTACATCTCTCCATCAGTACGTAGCTTCATGTAACATCCGTGCGATAATCGGGCTGCTGGCAATTTGACCATGTCGTGGGTGAATACTTCCAGCCGGTGTTCGGACTCGGACGAACGGCCGGGCCCGCAATGTCAAAATATCTGCCCAGGCGTCACTTCGCACCAAAAGGTGGACCGAGGCGTTCAAAGTGCGGAGTAAGTGGGAGCATGATAAGGCTGCTCTCGGCCACAGTTACGGCGATCCCAAGCCACAAAACAGCATGTTACTCGAGAACAGCTGAAGATAACAATCACACGATAGATGCTCCATGCGCGCCACGAGACCATTATCCAGCCCTGGTCCAGTTGGCGTGCTGATCTGCTGATTTATTACCATGACGGGTCATGTAACGTAGTTATGTCAGACCTCAGCAGCATGGCGACCAAATGTGTTCACAGAGGTTGCTCTCGAATGCTTCATCCAGCATCAGTCGGACCCCATGGGACCCCACGATGACCCTAGAGAGCTAAAGTGAGTTACAAATCGTAAACGTTTCAGGTTACATTAGAGCTCTCCTTGCGAGCTTGGCAAATAGTAACAGTAGCCCCTAAAGCAAAGCAAGGTTTCCTGAAAGCAAGATGCAGGAACTAGGAGTGCTCATAAAGGCCTCTGCGGAACCCATCACTCTACCTCCCATTGCACACCACAAACTAAGAGCAGAACTCGATAATTAAGATGCTCCCTCACGGCTACCTTGTTTTATCCTCATGTGCCCTCTGGCACTTGGCCATGGGTCTCCCTGGTTCCGTCCAGCCTCGAGCGAACTTTGTCCACCCAGGCATCCTCATCGACGAAGCACAAGCAGAGCTCATCAGAACCAAGGTATCACAGTCAGTTGCTCCGTGGGCTCCAGCATACACATCCATGTTGGCGCACCCTTATGCCTCCAAGACAGCCCCAGAGCCCGTCTCAACAGTAGAGTGCGGATCATACTCTACGCCTGACGTTGGTTGTTCGGGTGAAAGAGAAGACGCCATGGTGACGTACTTGAATGCCCTGGCATGGACAGTCACAGGCACGCAGGCATACGCAAACAAGGCCATCACGTTTATGGATTCTTGGGCATCGACCATCAAGGCACACAACAACACAAACTCGCCACTGCAGTCTGGTTGGGTCGCTTCAACGTGGGCCCGCGCCGCAGAGTTGATCAGATATTCAAACGCCGGCTGGAGCGCTGCCAGCATCACAAAGTTTGAGGGCATGCTGCGTAATGTCTACCTGCCTCTCGTCAAAGATGGCGCACCAAACTACATGGGCAACTGGGATCTTGTCATGGCGGAAGCCGCAATCTTCATCGGTGTATTCCTTGACGACCAGACCGTTTATGATGCTGGCATGACAAAGTTTCTCAACCGGGTGCCGGCCTACATCTACTTGGAGAGCGACGGCAATCTTCCAAAGACAGCACCGGGAGATACGACGACAAGTACGCAGGCCGGGATCGTGACGTACTGGCAGGGCCAGTCTGTGTTCAACGTCAGCGGTTTGTCCCAGGAGACATGCAGAGACTTTGAACACACAGGATACGGCCTTGCCTCTATCGGTCATGTGGCTGAGACATCGAGAATACAAGGGCGTGATTTATTCAATGAGGGAACCGGTACTAGATTGCGGTACGCTCTAGAGTTTCATTCGAAATATCACCTTGGAGAACCAAAGCCCACGTGGCTGTGTCCTGGAAAGACACTATCTCTCTATTTGGGGCCAGGTATGCAATTGTTCCGTCCTCCCTATTGACTTAGTAGGACTAGACATCTGACTCCGCATCTACAGTCACGGAAGTGTCATTCCGCGCCCTCTCGGGTCGTTTGGGATATGACATGCCATACACAGAGGAATTGACTCTAAATCAGCGGCCAGCTGGGACAAATAAACTCTTTGTCGGCTGGGAAACCTTGACCAATGCTTGAGAGAGTATCTCACCATTTGAGACATGATTTTGCAGGTGTGTCTGGATTTCCTTGTGGAAGATGCTGCGGACGTTGTGTGGGCAGCCAAACAGGGGGGGGGGGGGGGGGCTAGAAATAACGCGAGGGCTGGCGTCAAACCTATGGTCCTAGGAAAATCTTCACGGACAGCATAGAATAGGCCATACAAGTGCAATCATTGCAAGATGTGCGTTCAGTTTGTTCTGACGGTGTTGTGAGTTGAATGTTTCGCACGAGGGTGATGAGTTCTGTGTACAGGGCAGAAGCAACTCTATGTCCGTGTTTCGGGCCAGAATTCAGCGGCTGCTTCATTCCTTGGAGACCAGTACCTTCCTGGTACACGTCAACATAGTTCATTGTCCAGTTATTCTTTTTGAATCTGTAATCGTACCACTAGGCTTAACACAAGAAAGGTTCGCGGAAACAGACAATTATATATGAATCTCTATTGCGAAATACTTCTACTGCAACCACACTATACTAACCACAGCATAGTCTAAGGCGTCATCAAACTCATGAAGCAAGAACTTACGTAGATAAATAGGAGACCAACAGGGACGGTTAGGCTCCTAAGCCAGCCGTCATAATCATTGCTGCTGGAGATACTCAAGCCGAATAGAAGAAAACAACACACGAAAAAAACACCTTCCAATGTAGGGAAAATCAAATCCGGTCTAAGACGCCTGAACCAGACACTTGGCATGGAATTCCGCTCTCCATTTGGATCACTGCTAGCGACGTCTTCTCCCAACCTTGTAGCTGTTCCAAAGAGATTCATCATTACGATAAAGAAAAAGATGTTTGAGGAATTATAAAACAGGTACACAATACTGACATAGCGCAGATTCAGGAAGAAAGTAGCAGCCAGCACGATAGCAACTAAGCACCAAATAGTGGTCCACAGTACGGTCATCACGATCAGGTAGGTCCAGGGAGCTTGGTAGCTCATAGACTTGTTAGCCAACTCCAGCGTTTTTTTGTGATAATACATGGTGAAGTTGATTTGATCGTGTGCGTCAAAAAGGTATTGGAGAGGGATGAAAGACATTCCGCAAATAACAAACCCTTCTCCCAGCCATGAAGAAGGGACTGGCTGGGTTTGGCAGCGGTCCTGAGGCATACGACGTCGCGTCAACAGCGGCCAGACGGCTGTAGCGGCAGCAATGGTAGGTCCAGTGAGTAGCAAGACGGCAATGATTTGACCGAATGTAAAGCCATTTTCGTCGAGTTGCACCGAGGCTCGAGTCGCAACAATGCGAATTGTCACCCAAAGAACCGCTACCCAGGCAAGCATAACCTCGGAGAAGGTTGACGTTACCACATCCGTATGTATGCGTGCCGTCATGAGTATGGCGATGATTGGATTGATGAAGAAGTATTGACGGACAAAATTCAGTCTGGGAGATGTTGGCTTAAAACGAGCCGTGGTATCCACGGCGAGCTGAAGCAGCTTTCGACGAGCGTTACGTCGAATCACATCTCGAAAGAAATCGGAACCGCGACGAGATAGCTTGATGAGGCGGATCCCAAAGCTCATGCTCAGAAAAAGTATGCTGAAGACCATTGAAGAGCCGGAGCCTTTCGGAAAGCCGACACGCATATCGCTTGAGCCCAGTGCTCTCTGCGTAGCAGTCTGGACATTGAAAAAACAACGAGCGTAGGAGGAAGGGCTTGCCGGATTGGCACCCTCATGTCTATCCGAATACAACCAGTTGAACCATCCCGTAGGGAAGAGCGCAACAAGAAGAAGCAGTAGCGATATTGTTGTAGGAACCAGACGGACGTTTCGATGCAAAGGCCGTTGACGCAGGTAGTCCCGCAAGAACGTAAGACCAACGAGGTGCGTGATGTTGGCAAGCCATGCCAAGTGGGCAGCGATCTGCCAGTGATAAGCAGATATGCCAGAAGGTCCACCCAGCGTCGCGAAGGCGCTGGACAGAACCGCAAGGCCGGTAATTGATTGACCGTCGCAAAAGGCTAGGATGTACTATGCAAAAGGCTAGGATGTACTATGCAAAAGGCTGTCAGATTGCGGCAAGGTGGGATGAGTTTGTTGGCGGCCCTTACATTGTCTTACATTGTCAAAGGCTTTATGCATGTCTCGTGCGAATGGATCAGGATTCTTCAGCGACGATCGCTTCGGAAAGAGCCACCGACTCAAACGGCTTCCGAGAATGAACTGATCAATGGGATTGGGAGACCACTCTTCATCGCTTTCGGCCTCGTAATTGCACACTGTCTGGTGGTCAGGTAGGTCTCGGTCGCTCTGTGGTATTGTTATCTCCTCTCGAAGCCCCAGACTTGTGGGTTGGCTAGAAGAGGAACAGTCGACTTCGTTGCGGCGCTGTATTGATTCTTCGGAGTTCAATTCGGCGACGGCATTCGTCGGTGAAGTCACCGGCTGATTTGAACTCTGCACTCTGCTTGGTCGTAGTCGTTGCATCTCGCAAGTCTTGGTCAGAACCAACCATTCCGTGATCGGGATTTTTGTTCGGATCAAAGGCCACGAGATAGTGTACAGTGATGATGATGAGTGCCAAGTATGCTGGTGCCAGAAATCCGACAAGGATCTAGAGGCGCAGGTAGTTGTTAGCCCAGGCCCTTTTGTTTGAAGCACCGTGACGTGCATTGAGCCGGCGCAGCTAGGTTAGCAGCCAACAGCACTTACACCAAGGCCAGCAATATCACTGTTGGGTTCGATCTCGGGTCTGTCATTGAAACAGTCGTAGATTGGCGGTTGCGAAAGGACGAGTCCTTCTTGTACTGACATAATGCGCTATAGGAGGGTGGAAAGTCGTATAGAATCAAAGTAGAATATGGGAAGACTTCAAGGAGGAATGGTTAAACGAAGTTTCGCAGAGGTGCACTAACACGGCATTTTGCAGGCAGCACTGGCTGGCCTTTATGCCAAACATGGTCGGTGGTTTTGGGCACTGTCACAACGACAAGCGACCTCGACCGCCGTTGTGCTACTGACCTCCCTGAAAGCCTTACGTGACCAAGACTCGGAATACAGCCTGACTGTATGGATCCTACGAAGATGCCAGTCGATTCGCTACGCTGTGAAGAGTTAACGGCCAGCTTGCAAACAAAACTTGAACAAAACATGATGGCAATGACTGATTGTCCACGGCAGATGAAGAACGTCTTACCTAGTCAGCCCACGATCGCCTCCTGCTGAGGTCGATGGGTGCTTGATGCCGGCGGGTGAGCAGTGCATGGTTGCAAGGAAAGCTTAGGCTAGCATTGGGACAGAGAAATGGAAGAGACAGGCCATGCTTGGGTGCGGCTGAGGCATCTTGCTGCTCCAGAGGAGGCCTCATGACGACAGCTTGCGGGTGTGCAAAACAAGGCAGAGAGGCCTTGGATCGAGTGTCAATCCTCATGCCCTACCCACCTCCCGGCATTGACGTGCCCTTCCCATGGCACAGGTAGGCAAAAGTCAGCCTTCCAAGCGCCATAGGACTTGGGATGCCCAAAGCATGTTGAGGGCAGCTCAGCTACCTATCACGGGAAAGGGCCGAGATCGCTAAGCCCTTCAGTCGGAGCATTCTTGCCTGCAGACAGTGACGCTCTAGGCCGTCGCGTAAGCATTGGTTACACATCGTCCTTTCGTGGACTCGACTTTGCCCATTGGTCGTATGAACGGATGTGATAGTACCTGCTAAGATGTGACACAAATTACCGGGACATCTGAGAACAGACTTGAATCCATGCTCGCTGGGCTGCTGACAACTTACAATATCAAATGTCGTTCAGTAATATTTCTCATGGACGATGAGACGACAAATACCAGACGGAAGGCAAAGGGAATACATGGACAGAATTCTCATATCCTGTCAGGAGCTGCTAGAGTAGCATAATCTTGAGCAACTTATAAGGCATGGCAGCTGCGCCAGGAAACCACCCATGGGAGCGAGTTGATGAGCTTGCAAGAACGCTGCACAATACCTGGGCTTCTATGGTCCACAAGTCGTCAAGCACTCATTCGGCGCCATCTGATCACGACGAGTTGAGATCCACGTGACAGCAATGAATGCACACAAGCCTTGGCAAGAGTTGCACCGCTGTCTTGATACACCGTTATATCAAGGCCAACAGCTGTTGGCTTGTTGGCCTGGGTTCTCGCATCATCCGCTTGTCTAGAGTGCAACGGTGTCTTGTAATATTGGAGGCTATGATTCAGTCACCAGGATCTTCTGTGCGGCACCAAAGGTCCATTTCATAAACTCAAGCCATGCCACATCAGCCGGAAAAGCGGCCACGACGGCCCTGCGGAGCCACGGAGCAGGGAGTCGGAGAGAGCTCAGGCTACGAGCAACGTATATATATAAACTGCGGAGGCCCGGATTTCAGATGTACCCAACCCCCTAGCTATATTCCATCACCTGCGGACTATGCGTAGAAGACGTCTTCACTCTGCTCTAAACAGCGCTCTGGCACTCTTACAAGGCTCGCAATCAGAATCTCACAAAACACTCGTCGCCCTCCCCAGCCGCCCTTGCCCAGCAAAAAACAAAAACATACAACACCAGGTATTCGCTGGTGGTCACCCACCCAACTACTGATCCGGCCCTTATTGGCTTATTTAGGGGAGAGCGGACGGGATCCCAAGTTTTCCAATAGGTATGGTCGTATGTGCTTAGATGTCTGTTTGGAGCGGTTATATCGGCTGAGCCATGCTTTGCTGAGGACCGAGGTCAGGTATGTGGAAGTCTAGTAGGAGAAGAATGGGATGTACAAGTGGCGAGCACCAAGTGCTTTGCAGAGCTTGTGCTCCTATCGCCACTTGGGACGTTGTGTTATCCTTTGGGCAAGGCTTGTAGAAGCAAGGCGTCGCGTGAAGCTGGTGGTGGTCGCTTCGCGGCAGTGGTGTCTACAGCTCGACAACTTTTGTAATCAGCAGCATCAAGTTTGCAGTAGTCGATAAAACCCACCCTTCAGACTCGTGATGGCCCAAGTTTTAAACCGAAACACCAGAGAAAAGAACACCGAGACGTACAACACAAAGCACAGGCAGCCGAGAACAGTGATCCGAAAGAGTGCCAACCATCCATTGACACAACCATCTACACAACCATCTACATAAAAATACACCACAGGGCGCAGACTTGCTAGCAACGTCCTGTCCTCCCACTTAAACCTACACGTAGTCATCTCACGGCTGGCCCTCGCCGGCCTCCAGCGCCTCGACGGCCTCCTCGCACCGCCCGCAGAGACTGTCCTCCGCCTCGGCGACGTAGCGCCAGCACCGCGAGCACTTGCACCCCTGGGGCGGCAGCACGCCGACCACGCCCCTGGCACCGTCGACCTCGAAGGCCTGGCGCAAACGGCGCCTCGGGCAGCGCGTCGCCGAGCCGCACCTCGACCGACGACACGACGAACAGCGCCTCGAGGTCGGCGGCATAGCG